AAATCCGTGTGCCAAGAAATTAGCCATACAAATTAGAACATTGCAAGCAGGAGAGATTGGGAGACCCACCCCCAAACAGTGAGTAGCCCAGCAGTTAGGGTGCTCCCCTGGGATGTGGGAGATCCAGGCTTGAATCCCCATGCTGCCTGATTTGGAGCTGTGACTTGAATCCTGGACCCTATAGTGCAGGTGAGAGCTATCACTACTGGCCTGTTGGCTACAAGGGGTGTGTGTGTTTCCCTTTATCTTCCCCCACCTGCCACCTTGCCTGCTGGTTCCGGGAGGCCACAGCGGGGGATGGGGCTAAGAACATGATAACAGCTTCAAAGTATTTGAAGGGTGTAAACCCGCAGGAGGAAGTGGGAGTATTTTAGGTGGGCCAAAGGTGCGACATTTCAAAAAGGAACATGGATGCTGAAAGGCAAAATGGAGGCTGTACATAAGAAAAAGTTTCTGGAGAGTGAGGCCTATTCAGGGAGAGTCTCCTTGGGAGAGCTGGGGCAGGATGGGAGTCCCACCGCTTTGGACTAAGCCTTGGAGAAGACACTGTAGGGAACCTTCCCACCCTGGTCTCTGATGGGAGGCAGATATCATGGTGACGAGCATGGGATAGATGACACAAAGTTGCCCCATAGCTTTTTCCTCTCTACATGCTGGGGCTCTCGGAAGGTGGAGGAAGCAGATGAAAATGCTTTAGAGCAGCCTTCCTACCTTCTCACCACATCCTTGTACCCAGGAGCCTGCTTGTCTGACACTGGCTTCAGGAATGGGCCACAGTACCTAGAGGGACAAGCCCAAAGAGACAGGAGAGAATCAGGTTTGTCCTCCACTGTTCACGTGACTCTTGAAGAGGGGGCAGCAGGCCCACTATTCCTCTTCCCTGGCACCCATGAAGGCTGATGTGGGGCCAGTGACTAGCAATCCCCAAGGGAAATACGGGAAGGATGGCAGGAAACCTCGGAGTCCACTGTTGGTGGTCACTAAGGTAGGAATCTGAACTCATTCATTCCTGCTACAGAGACTGGTGTGGGTGAACCCAGCGAGAAATGACCCATTTTACTCTTGCCCTCATGGAAGGGCCCTGGGGCTAGAGTTAGGGACAGTGTGGACAGGGGCCATGCAAGTTTCACTCCCAGCTCTGCTGCTGCTGCCCCTCAATCCCAATCTGCAGCCCCTCTGCTATTCTAGCCCTGGACTTCTCTCCCACTTCCCCCAGCTCTGCCACTGCCCTCAGCCCCCAGCCCCCTGACACTTCAGTCCTGCTTCCCACACCTCAGCTCTGGTGGTTCCCCTCAGTTCACAGATTCAAAAAGTCCAAGGCCAGAAGGGACCATTGTGACCTTCTAGTCTGACCCCCTGTATAACACAGCCCAGAGAACTTCCCCCAGATAATTACGAGCTGTCCCCCAGAGATACACACCTGTGGCTGGCTATCATCTTCCAGATGGACAGCAGTGTCTTTTTGAAAAGCAAATGTCGCAGTGGGTTAGCACAGCTGAGTGGCACCCTGCACAGAGGAGAGGTTATCAACTCATCATGCCAGATAAGGAGCAGGGGGATGGATGTACTGCCACTGCTGGCCTCCAGGACACTCAGGAGGAGGGAAGGTTACTGCTCTTTAGCTTGTGGTCTAAACAAAACACCTTCCAGGTAGCTACAGGGCAAGTCTCCCCATCACGGATCTATGGGGAAGTATTTCCCAAGCCACTTTGTTTGGGTCCCTCCAGAGACTCTCATTTTGGGGTTCAGCTCAGTCGCAACAGCTGCCATTGGACCCACAACTCTCAGGCTAGAACAGGTCTTTGGTAATGGCTCAGTGATGGCAGAGCCACCAAAGCACCATGTGATGCCATGTGTAGAGTTTACTAAAGGCACAAAACCTGGGGAGAAGTCACTGAGCTCCTGCTGGAGCCGTGGGACCAGGTCTCTCTCTCGGTCTGGTGGTGGAAGGTCTCTTTTGCTCAGATCCACAAAGGGACTTTCGGCACTGCTGTGATCCACACAACTCCTGCTCAGCTGCTATCTAACCCTCTAGGCGCCTAAACTCACCAGGTTGTAAAAGTTCCCTCAGGACTGAAGTTTCTGCCTCTGGGGATGAGCTCTGCTGCCTCAGGCAGGTGTCTGGAGGCCCATCTCATGTTTAAGCCTCAATGAAATCCTCAAATGGATGGAAACAGGCACTCCTCTGTTTAGCTTGCCTGCAGGGCCCAGGCTGGCAGGCATGCTCAGAGCATGGCTGCCCTGCACATCATGGCCAGGAGGGAGAGGGTAATAGCCTCTCTTATGGCCTTTAGCTTAGTGGCTAAGGTACGCACCTTGGAGGTGGGAGACCCAGTTTCAGTGCCCCTTTCTACTTGGTGAAGCAAAGGGCTTTGCTTTCAGGTAAAGCCCCTCACCACTGGCCTGTCGAAGAGCCCAAGGTAGGAGTCTCTCAATCTCTCTGTTGAGGCCATTACACTTTTTATTAATGAATTCAATATGAATGAAGTCAGAGCACAAGTGAGCATGACTCTGTAGTCCAGGGGTAAGGGCCCCTATCTGATGAGGGAATCCCTCTTCACTCTTTAGAGTGGGGACAGAACAGGGGTTTCCCACATCCCAGGGAGTACCCTGAGATTAGAGGTTTTGTTGGATCTGCTCTAGGAAGTATTTTAGGAAGTTCTCTCGTTAATTTGTCATGGCGCTATGCAGCAGGTCAGACTAGATTATCACAGTGGGGCCTTGTGGCCTTGGAATCTCTGACCCTATAAGGAAGGTCTAAGCCACTGACTCCAGGAGAGGGCTCCTGGCTGTGGATCGCAAGCAGAGACAAGTGCCTCCCAACACCCTGGATTTAGGAACTGAATGCTGTGAGAGGGGCGGGGCTTAGGATACTTCCCCCTCCTCAGCCTCTCCCATTGGCCAGTTTAGGTGGTGCCTGCATAGTGTGCTGATGTTCTGTGGATCCGGTAGCGGGGTAATCACCCGCTCCTGCCCGGGAGGGGTTAAAAGTAGCCCTGGGGAGGGCTGTGGCAGGGAAAACAGCTAATAGGCTGATTAGGGAAGCAGCTGGGCCACGCCCCAATCAGACCTCAGCTGGCCCTATATAAGAGGCTGGGAGCCAGGAGCTCAAGAGTCTCTCTCTAGCTGTAGAGGAAGATGGACCTGAGCAGAGTACCAAAGTGGAGCAGGGCTGGGGACAAGCTGAGGAGCTGGGGAGGCTCCAGCCTGGGGGTTGCAGAGGGCAGCCCAGGGGTAGGCAAAGGCAGCAGGTCCAAATCCAACCTTGCCAGTGATGAGTAGGCTGATACTGCAGTCTGCCCCAGGGGGCCCGGGCTAGACAATGACTGGCAGTAGCCTTATACTGAGGCGAGGTGGGGATAAGGGGTGGGGGTTCCCCTGGGAGGGGAGACCCTGAGACAAAGGGGTTACTGCCAAGGGGCAGCACCCCAGATAACAGGGCACCGGGTCTGGGAGGGACACGGGGGCCAAGTGGCAGCAGGACACCAGCCTGCAGAGGGCGCTCCGGAGGCTGGACGCGCTAATTCCCAGAGACAACCAGCAGGAGGCGCCACAGGGGTGAGTCCCGCATCGCTACAATCCCATTCTTAGGCTCCTCATTGTATAGGGACCCTCGGCACCCAATCCAGGCTTTGTGGGTTCCAATGTTATTCTAGGCACCTAAACATTAGTTGTTGCAATGTCTAAGTCCCTTTGTGGATCTAGGCCTTGTCCCTGCTGCAGCCCTCCAGTTCCCATGTTCCATCCCACGGCCTACATCATACCTAGCCTCCTGCTCCCCAAGTGCACAGAACTCACGTGGGAGTCTATGAGATGGCGGCCTGTCACATTAAGGGTCTCTGGGTCCTTGTGCTACAAGTGTGGGAATCAGAGTAGCAGCCGTGTTAGTCTGTATCCGCAAAAAGAACAGGAGTACTTGTGGCACCTTAGAGACTAACAAATTTATTAGAGCATAAGCTTTCGTGGACTACAGCCCACTTCTTCGGATGCACGAAAGCT